CACGCACACACCCCACACAAGGGTCGAACACTATCAGAGCGGCTTCAGGAGGCACTAGCCCTTGCTCTACCATTTACACATACCCCGCGACGGCTGACCCCTGCCAGAGCATCTTCCAGAGGTAATTGCACCGCCCCACCATTCCAATTAGTTTATCACTCGAAAGGGTCGAACCCAAACAGAGAATCTTCCAGATGCGCTCCCCTCGACCCACCCAAGGGTCGAACTATACCACCTTCGGTCGATTAGGGACATTATCAATTGCTCCTGCACTCGACCCCTGGATGCCGTTCAACAAGTTACGACGGTAGCGAATTTTCGACAAAAGCTACTTAGCTTGAATCCAGTAGTTCAGTAGTTTTCATACTTTCTTTGTACTTTTAATATTAATCAAAGAGCATACACATACATTTCAAAGGGTAGGAAAACTAATCACATAACCCCACACATCATTCACTTTGTAGTAAGTGTTAATAAGAGACTTATGTAACGTTTCCAACGAAGAGTGTGATATTTTACTGCAACCCGCAATAGAAATTTGTTATGGTTGTTGCCTACAGGATGAATTTGCAGGCGCCTTGCACCAAACCAAACACGAGAAGTTGTAAAGTACTGCATTCTAAAATGCTTCTGCGATAATTGGATGCTGTGAATTGGAATACTATTGATGTTCTAATAAATGGTTCTGAAGAAGCCCTGAAAAGTTAATATTTTTAAATGGAAACAAATCGAAAAACCGAGAAAATGAGAAAAAAATAAATAGAAAAATAATAGAAAGAATTTGGAAATAATTAAATATAATAGATTAAATACAAGACATTAAGTGCGATAGGTAACAGCAAATGGCAATACATGAAAGACAAGACAAAAGGATGCAGTGAGTACAAGTGACGAAGGAGGATCGAGTTAAAGTTTGTTATGTGCCGTGAAGACTAACAATGACTGATAAGTGTAGGGCATTGTTGCTACAGTTTTAGAACAGAGAGAGTGCGCATGCAGTCGCACTAAGGTAAGGACGTGTTCTCATTACGAGCTACGTGGTGGGTGCAAACTTTAATAATCATTTTACATCACGAATAGACAATTATTTCATAGTTACAGAATGATTGATCTGGGGACTTTTTCAAGTCAAAAACAGAATTTTAAAGTAGAAATTTACAACTTTTGTGTGTGGTACGGATGGGATCAATGAGAGAGCTATGTCGACGCTGGGCAGGTAGCGAGGTAATATTTTAAGACTCTGTTCAGGATTACCAGAGGGAATATTTTTAACTTGCAAGATTAACTTGTAAATTTCCATTAGAATGTCCATTCATTAGTTTTTAATATCATGAACAATAATGCAAAAGACCTGGAAACGGCGGCCAAAGCGTCAACTGATATCACTGCAGTGCCTCTGACCGGGAAATCGGAGGTTTGAATCCCGACAGTGACAGGATTTTCGACACTACCTAGAGAGCTATGTCGAGTTCGGCCGCTGTCTAGAGGAGAATCTAATTGGCTCAGTGCTCTGATCGGTCGTTTTTCTTATTTCTCAGATCAATATCAGGAGAATGCCGGAGTAGTAGCCTCACAAGCGGGCCACATCGCGCGCTAGATTTCCTTCTCCTTCTTTGTCCTAACTCTACACTTATTTACACGTTCATGCACTACACTACCACGCATGCTGGTGATCCAGTCGGGAGCTTAGAGTATGTCCTGGCTGGGGAAGTGCCCCATCGCTAGTGGGAGATACCTGGTTGAGGAACCCGCGGAGGACGGTAGATTGGCGCCAACTCTCACCACCCAGTGAGGAACGATTATCGCCATCTCTCGCGATAAAAACACACTATACTCACGGGAAATGCCTTAGCCGTTGACGCGCCCGGTATCACTAATCAGTCCACCAATACCGCACAGATTTGCGCATAAAAGAAATCGACGATTGTACATGTTATTTTACTGTAAATGAGTTTTTATTATCAAGTTATAACAAAAAAAGGAAAATATTATTCTTTAGTATGTTTATTTGCCGGAGGAAAGAAGAAAGCAAATATCGTACCAAAAATGTCCCTGAAATATTGAAAGTTTTATTACCAACTATTTTAAACAGTTAAATATTTTATTATTAAAGAAAAAAGTGCCGAGCTAGCCACGAGATATTTATAGATAAAGGAGAGGAAAAGAGATGTTCATTTCTGTATACAATGTGTGTGTATATATCACAATCATTGGTCAGGAAAAAATAATTATAATTCTAAATAAAACTAAAGAGTTAAATTAAAACTAATTTTATATACCTCCTAGCCACGCCACGCTCCGTCAATTTTGTGCGTTCAATAAATAAATAAATTTGGAAAGGAATGAATGAAAAAAAGGAGAGAGTGCGTGAAATCAAAGATACTCTGAGCGTTGGCCAGTGTGAACTGAAATACTCGGTTGCACACCGAAGAAGAAAATCAATACACCAATCTCATATACTCAAATATTTTGTTCTTTCTTTAGAGTTTCTGCTCTCTTCAAACCAGGAGACACGTACTCTGACAATGCCATGATATCTATATATCCATTTGGCGATGAGTACTACGCTTTCACCGAATCTCCAGTCATCCATAGAATAGACCCATCCTCACTGGAGACACTGAATAGGGTAAGTTAACATTTTGCTTTGAACATCATAGAACAAATATAAACAGAAAATTATAACAGGATAACGTACATTGAATAAATTGAATATCATAAATAAAAGTTTTCGAAATTAGTCATTTGCGGTGAGACGGTCCGTAGCTCCGCACACGTATCTCTCTCACGTTTCGTGTGCAGCCTCCCCCGG